CTCTCTCTCCTAGAAATAAATAAAACATTTAAAAAAAAAAAAAAAGATTATCCAATTGCTGGTAACTATTGAGGCTAGACACTGTGTGCATGGGGGTTGACTATATTACTGTTTATATTTTTGTTTATATTACATTTTTATTGTATATCTACTTTTAGTATTCAGAATTACTATAACACAAAAAATCACAAAAAAACAAAACACTTAAAACTGACTTCCAGGAAAGATGGCAGAGTAGGACGACCTTAAGTTCATCTCATCGCATGGATACAACCAGATAACACACTAATGTAAATGACTCAGAAAACAACCTGAAGACTGGAAGCACAAATTTACCACAGCTAAATGTAGGGAAGAGACTGCTTGGAGGAGGGTAGGAAGGGTGGAGACATGGTGGGGAGTGAAAAGATGGTGGGAGGGTGGGACCCACAGTTCCAGAAAGGGGAGAGAAATAGAGTCCCACACCAAGAAGCTCACCCAGGAAAGACAAAGCCCCATAACATTTGGCTTTGAAATTGACATGATCATATTTCACAAGTTCTTACAATGAATGGGGCTTAAAATCTGGAAATTTAAATATCAGTGGGGTTGGCTCTGGGGAACTGGGAGCATGAGAGGAAACTAACTCCTAGTTCTTTTTTTTTTTTTTTACAAATAGTTTATTGTCAAATTAGTTTCCACATAACACTCAATGCTCATCCCCACAAGTGCCCTCCTCCATGCCCATCCCTCCTCCCCCCCATACCCATCAGTCCTCAGTTTTTGTCAGCATTCAAGCTGACTCCCAGTTTTTAAAGAAACAGTACAACAAACAGTCCTGCTGTGATACAGCATAGAAGTGGCAGTTTGAAAAACACCAGGAGCATAAGAGAGAGACAGAGAGAGAGAGAGAGAGAGAGAGAGAGAGAGAGGGAGATTTGTTTACTAATCTCAGAGCTCCAGCTAGAAGGGTAGAAGGGCAGGGATCACTGGGACATTTTTCCAGGAGCAAAGATGCTGGTGGGTGCCATTTTCCTTCCCTGCACCCCCAGCCCAGGCACACAGACACCTGGGGGCCCAGTGCAGCACCTACACTCACTGCATAACTTAAAAAAGCATGCCCTGCCTCTTCTTCCTCTGCAAACACACTCCCTCCCCCACCAGGCCTCTCCTCCAGGTCCCCTCTCACAGCAGACTCAGGCAAGCCTTGCTAATACCATGCCTCTCACCCCATACACTGAGGATCTGCCCCCTCCAACACATTCTTGGCTTAGCTAATCCAAAGTGGTACCACAAACCTGGCAGTGTGCAAGCAGCCCAAAGAGGAGCCAGCATCACTCTAAACTGACTCCTGCCCCAGGGAGAGGGAAAAAAAACCATACATACCCATCAGGGTAGAGGCTTAGTAGTGGGACAGACAGCTGGTCTTACAACAGGCCCCACCCACCAATGAAAGCTTCTTAGGGTACAATACAGGGAAAGTGCCCTACAGTTTGGTGTTACCCACTAACACCACAGGGACCAAACCCTGTCTAGAATAGGCAAAAAGAGCCATTGCACATGACTGGATTGAAGGAAAAAGTGTTTTAGCCAAAATGGCAGGATGCATGCAAGAGATAAAAGATTCTCCTGATGCATCAGGTTCTGCTGAACAGGAGACAGTGCACTGCAGGGCACTATACTTCTTCTTCATAAAGCCACTACTATCAAAAGCAGGAGACATAGAGGACTTTCCTAACACATAGAAACAGACACAGAGAGTTAGACAAAATGAATAGACAGAGGAATATGTCCCAAGTGAAAGAACAGGACAAAATCACAGCAAGCAACCTAAAAAACACAGAGATAAATAATATGCCTGCTAGACAATTTAAAGCAATGGTTATAAAGATACTCACAGGACTTGAGAAAAGACTGAAGGACATCAATGAGACCCTTAACAAAGAGACAGAAAAGGAACCAATTAAAAAGAACCAATCAGAGTTGAAGAGCCCAATAAATAAAGTAAAAAATACACCAGATGGAGTAAATAGTAGACTAGAGGAAACAGAAGAATGGATCACCTGGGCACCTGGGTGGCTCAGTCAGTTAAGCATCTGACTTTGGCTCAGGTCATGATCTCACAGTTCGTGGGTTTGAGCCCCGCGTTGGGCTCTGTGCTGACAGCTCAGAGCCTGGAGCCTGCTTCGGATTCTGTGTCTCCCTCTCTCTCTGACCCTTCCCCTGCTCATGCTGTCTCTCTCTCTCAGAAATAAATAAAACATTAAAAAAATTAAAAAACAAAAAAAGAAGAACGGATCACCAACCAGGAAGACAGAGTAACAGAAGGCAATCAAGCTGAAGTGAGAGGAAAAAAATTTTATGAAATATGAAATAAGATGAAAACAGACTTAGGGAACTCAGCAATATTCGCATTACAAGGAACCCAGGAGGAGAGGAGAAATAAAAGGGGCTAGAAAATTTATTTGAAGAAATAATAGCTGAAAATTTCCCAAATCTGGGGAAGGAAACAGACATCCATATCCAGGGGGCACAGAAAGCCCCCAACAAAATCAACCCAAGAAGGTCCACACATAGTAACTAAAATGGCAAAATGAAATAGTAAAAAAAAAAAAAGAATTTTAAAAGCACCACGAGAAAAGAAAGCAGTACATACAAAGTAAACCACATAAGGCTAT